ATATTTATAAACAGCCATCAAAAGGTTACTCTCTATCCTTCCCTGCTGCCTGACTCAGCTTTTGCAAGGCAGTTTCGTGTGACATCCTTGGTGATCTCTGATTGGGCTTTTCCTTACAGTCACATTAGCTGAACTGACTTTTATTCTCAATACACTGGAGGAAATCAATCTTCTTAAGAAATGGATATTCAATAAACACTTCCATTAAGCATGTGCTTTAAAAAGTCAAAAGAGAAATGTTCTGATAAAGTACTTGGGTTTGAACTTACACTGTATAGCAAATAACAATGGAAAACTCACTGCTATTCATGTAATCATGAAGAAAAGCATTCAGATTACATTTTACAGGTTTAAAAACTGCTTCACATAGTTCAAGAACACGTGTTTCACATGAGTCCCGACTATTCAAGACCTGGTAGTGTTGTGTAACTTTCCATAACTGGTAGTTACACACCAAAGTAGCTGTAAGAGCATTACTTGTGAAATGTCTCTTCTGTTACCATCCAGGGTAAGAAAGGTTAAGGATTCCAGTCTGAGGAAATTTTATTTCATCTGTAAGTTGTCCTACATGTTCTCCTTGAAAGGAAGGTGTGAATTACGTAGTATCTGGAACATACTGGGAAATAAATGCCAATTCTGAGAATTTGTCACGCATTTTTCATTATTTGTTATGATTTCTCTGAGCATTAGAAATAGACATCGTATATCACCAGAGCTGAAAAACAGATGTCTAACATACAGGCTGTGGCTTATTTTATCTGAAGTTTTAATACTGATGATTTCTAAAAGATGGGAAAATGCAATCCCAATGTCAAATAAATCAAGATGCCAGGACTGTAGGCATAAACCAAAAATGTCCTGCATAAACCAGGGCATACGATAGTTCTAATATAATATGCACATAGTGACAGTGTAGTGCAAATGTCAAAGTGACCCATTCTGCCTAGAATATCCTTGATAGTGGAAGTGGCATTTGATGTGAGGTGAGTAAAATGACTAAGACTTTATAGATTTTGAATGTCGGCATAAATGTTCCAAGAATATGCAAGGAAGTTTGCAAAAGAAATACAAGTGTGAGAGGCTATTATTGTTTCAGGATAGTGTAGATAACTGGATGCATCTAAATAGTGAAGGGGTGAGGCTGACAGGCAGGTGGGGTACAAATTGTGACGATCTTAAGCATAATGTCATGGCTCTGAGTTTAGAGCCATGTTGTCATTAAGTAATATTTTTTTTAACTGAGGATTGAGGGGCCATTTGCATTGCAGTAAGCTCAGTCAGGTAGAAATATTGGCAACAAGTTTAGCTGGAGGAATGATGGAGTAAGTGGTTAGCTGACCATCATAGCCGTGCAGTGGACAATAATGAGCATGGAACAAAGGCAGAGGCACCACACAGTCCTTTAGGACGGGAGGACTTCAACCTCTCGTGGCTAAGGGATCCATTTCCTTGAGAATTTCCAGCACTTTAAGCTCCCAGCCTTTGTATTTTGTATTACCCAGCAGGGACAGAATCTTAACAGAGAGGTCAAAGAGTGATGAGTATAGAAAATGCTCTGTCAAAATCAGCTATTCTTTGGGCAAATGACAGCATGATGCCGAAGCATGTCTTCCCAGTGGACCCGAAGTGTAACAAGGCGGGCAGATTACAAACTTAAGCAGGGATATAGAAACTGACTGCTGAGAACCAAGGACAGCACACAGCACAGCATGAGGTGCCAGTGTCAGACTTAAGTAGCTCTGATTAAGCAAAAGTGCTTTGCAGACTATATCAGCAAGAAGCAAAGTGACAGCTCCTACAAAGGACGAGAACATCATGAAGTAGAAGTCACAAGGTTGCTGATAGGGGCCTGATGAAGATTACAAAGCTGGTGTGTGACCTACATTCCAGTTAAATTTACTTTTCGCCAAGCTTGGTGAAATATGTTTCATTGCTTGCATTATGTTCTCTTTATTTTTAATTGATTATTTTGTCTTTCAAACGAATGTTTGCTCAAAAAAAAAGCAATGGGAGTGGGGTGGTGGAGTATGAAAGATTGATGAATACAAAATTGAACATTAAAATCACAAAACATCTTAATGATAGGACTGTCCAAACTTGTGACTATTTTTAAGTATCATTTTTAATACTGCTCTCTTATTCTAAACATTTATTAGGTTTGGTCATTGAAGTACATAATTGGGTCAACAAAGGAACCCACCATATATTTAGAGGAACAAGGATCACATAATGAGAGTATCCTTAGAGCAATGAATTGGTAAAACCTACATTTTCATCTTTATTTGGAAAGGAAATTACAATTATGCAAAGATCATGAGACTGAACAATCAGAGAACCTTTTATCAAAGAGTTTTGGTTGCATGTTTGGCAGCATGAACAGCATTTAAGTACAAGAAAGAAGAAATCACATTCAAGGTGACATTTTACTGTTAGAAAATAGCAGTGTATGTGTGTGTGGGGGGGGTGTGATTATGATTTGCCTGAATAAAAGAGAAGAGATATTTGAGAATACATTGGAGATAAGTTGGAGATAAGTATATTTAATATCTGCTCCTTAACCTCTTCTTGAATGAATGAATGAATGAATGAATGAATGAATGAATAGGATAAAATAGATCATCGAGAGAAGAGAAATTTGGGTAGGCATTAAAGTAGTCATCATAATCTAAAATCCAAATTTGTCCTAAAAGAATAGATAGTCAGTGTATGGTCCATTTACACTCACTTTAGTATATCTTGTTTCTTTGAAAATCAGTATAACTTTTTCTAATATTCCTTACTTTAAATTCTATCTTAGAATTAGCTTGCTGCCTACAGGCAAAATAGTGAGAACCAAAGATGACCACTGTTCTTCTTAAATGAGCATGCGTGATCTATAGTTATTCATTCCTTATTAAGAATTGTTTGTATACAAAACCTACTTTTTTGAAAGGTGATCTTTGATGGGCCCCTTGGTGTCATAATTAGGAACAAGTGATTAAGATATAGAACTTCATTGCAGCTAATAGTATATGAGTGAAAGCTTTTTATTTTCTCTAGGAAATCAACACATGTATCCTGCATAATGATAGACTAATAATTGTATTATCTGCTAAGCATTTACTATGTACAAAACATGTTATGCTAATCTACTTTCAGACACACGTGGGTATGAGTCATATCACCAGGCATCTGCTAGAAATACGCAAATTAATTAACTTTCGGACCCTCACAGTATATATTTGGGAACTGGAAACAATACACCATATTTTACATAGCTTTTCTAAGGATTAACTGAGATCATTCATATAAACCACTTAAGGTGGCTCTTGGCACTAATAAAGACCTCATATATGATAAAATATGATAAAACATTTTCACTTGAAATCTTAACACTTAGAAATCTATGTAAATATGTATTACAAAAGACACTTTAGGAGGCAATTTTGCATGATTAATGCTATCAACAATAAATAACATCAATAATTAAGTTTTAAGATGCATCAATACTATAAATTTCCTCATCTTCAAACAACCATATGAAGGCAGATTTATTAAACTTGTAGTATAATATGTACAGTTTCTATAACTATAATATGTGCTATCTACACAATAAATGCAAAGATGCACTACTAAATTCATGGGGATAGCTTTAGTAAAAATTCCTAGAAATGAACAGAAGAGTCTGTTTATATAAACCAAACACATATCTTCATGATTGTAAATGCTACATTTGAAGCACTTTTTCACATTACTGTATGCTGACTTTTAAACACAATATAGTGACAATTTAAATGGGAAACACTACTGTTCATTTAAGGTTAAAAAAAAAGGAATCGTTAGTTTCAGAATTTAGAAAAAATCAAAAAAGAACAAATTTACAACCGATGTTGACTTCTGGACTTCTTTATCTCATGTGAGCTTCATTCATATAATACAGAAGAAATCATCAGTGTTACTTGATTGTTTGATGTACGAGTTTGATAACAAGCTTTACCCATTCCACATATGCTCATGCAAATTTTGATAGATTAATAGAAAAATAGATTAACAGAAAATTTTGAGGTTAATAAAAGCTTCATTGGGCAATCTTTTCAAATAAATACTATGATGGCAATAAAAGTAAAATTACCATTTAAAATTTTTAAATTTTCATTCATTTTATTTAACCACTATACTGCAATTCCTTTTTCAGTACAACATACATGTAGGTACTTAGTGCAAACAAAACAAGCCAAGAACCTGGTGATAATTTACATTAAGGGTTGTTTCACTGATGTAGAAAATTTTTAATTAAAAAGTCTCAATTCTTTTTGTCAAATACATTTGTGGATTTACAATTCTTATATTTCACAGAAAAAAATGAAATTTAAAATATAGATTTGCTTTATTGGTAATTGCAAGGATTCATTTACTTCATTACCTACAGAATACCATATTTTAAAATATTATACTATTAAGGTATTTCAGATTACAGTCTAAATACTCCTTAATTAGTGAACATGAAATAATCCAAATGTGCAAAATTCCAGATCTGACCTCGTGTGATTGGCAGGTGCATTAAAAATATCAGATAAACTCAGGTCCTGGCAATATGGGTAAGTTGTATATGAAACATGGGTGAATTTTGTGTTTTGACTTTGCCTTGATGTCTCACAAGATACCTGTAAATACCCCCAAACGTGAAAAAATTCTGGAATCTGAAACACTCCTGACCCTAAGTACTCTGGATGAGAAATGCTCAACTTACATGAACATTTTGATAGGATTATTTTAGCACCGCTTTTACTTTAAGCATAATTACTTTCATAACTGGAGAGAAATTCTAAATATGTTCAAAGTTAATAGCACTTTCCCCAACTCTGTTTGACCTTAAATGTAGAAGAATAAGAATGGTATAAATGAGAATACTTACTAGGATCACTAACATTTTAAAACCAAATTTTGGCACCATCAATTTCACAGGACTGTTAAATAGCAACCCCGTTTTGTCTTTAAGAAATGAAAAAGGAAACACTCACTTGAGAATTGAATGGCAAATCCGGATTTACTGATATAGAAATCTGTGTCAAACTGTATGGTCACTATGTTGAGGGTGCTGTGGATTCCTTCGGGGATAAGAGATCCACTGATTTCCTTTAGAAGCATCTCATTTTCGGGTGGACCATCCCAAACTCGGAGTATATCATGTGATGCTTCGGTATCAAAAGCAAGAAACTGTAGGCTGAGCAAGAAACGTGTGTATATCTGATTATTACAAACAAAATTTCACTTTAAATAAACAATAGAACACATGCTTTGTGGCTTTTACTAGATATTCCTCTTTAACTTATTTTTAAAAATGAATTATGTAGATGGCATATATACCCTGGTTAATGAGCTTTTGGGGCAATAATTTATTTCTTTATAATATGATCAGAAGTACCTTTTCACCACTTTTATGAATTACAGAGACTTTCGGTACACATTATTTTCAAGGTTTCTATATTTCTGGCAACAAAAAAGAACAACATTTATGGAAGACTTTCAATGAAGTAGGCACAGAGAAAAAAACTTGTTCAATTTTCTTCCCTCAGTTGATACTACGATCTAAGACAGTAGTAACATTTTTATTTTGATTTAGTAAATTTGGTAACTGAAGTTTAGATACACTGGATTATTGCCTAAAGCTGTCTGAGCTGTGAATTGAACTTCACTTGACGTCCAGTACATATTTTTCCTATAACTTCTTGTGAAACTTGTTCTATGCCTAATCAAGGCAAACTTAGTATCTGATTTTTTTTTTTGTGCCAAAGGCAAAAATTAGCACCTCAGTTATAGCAACTTGCTTAACTTTGGTACAAGTTCACATTTGATACATTAATAGTGTGGTGGCTTTAAATTTGTAGTCAATATTAATAGAAAATAAGTATCTTTAAAAACCCCAGTTTAATATCAGATTTAATATTCTTGATTCTGACAATTGTAATATTTAAATAAAACATGCATGATTTGCATTAAAAGAAAATAAGCTGGGTATCTATCCAGGGTAGCCAGAGGCCAAGCAATGTGCGGGTTCACACGGCACCCATCCAGCCGCCTGCAAGGAGTGCGCCACCTGGAGGGCGGTCTGACACGCAGTTTACTGCAAGCAACAATTTTCAAAATTTAAAGCCATTACATATGAACAATAACACACAGGCTAGTTTATATGTCAAGGAGGATTTGTTCATATATTGACCCATTCACAGCCAAAACTACAGTCGAGTAGTGGGACTGCAAGTGTGTGAGAGCCTTGGAAACCAGGCTGACGTCCATTCAGGAGACCACGGTTCTCCTGCTTCTGCTTCTGAGAGCAAATGTGTGTGTGTGAATGTGGGTGTATGTGTGTGTGTGTGTGAACTGCAAGCCCCATCTCTTACCCCCCACCTAAGCACAGCAACAAAGGGAATCCAACAGACTTAAAGGGGCAAAGGCAGATGCTCAAGACATGCACCAGAAGCCAGAGAAGAAATGCAGTATTATGAGGTCATCTATTCTTATTTCCTTGACTCTTAATACCCTTGCACTAGTGACAGCGACTTGCACAATTTCATACTTTTTTTTTCAGAACTAAGAATGGAACCTAGAGTCCCTATACTGAGCCACATCACTAATTGTTATTATTATTATTATTATTTTATTTTATTTTGAGACAGGGTCTTGCTAAATCAAGAATTGAAAAAACAAAGTCCACAAAAACTGGGAAGAGTTCTCGAAACCTTACCCTCTTATAACTCCAAACCACTTCCCTCTGAGGAGGAAGGTGGTTTATTGCAGCAGCCTGTATATCACTAATTCCAGCAGATGAAATGTTTTCTCATATTTTGCACAAATGAAAGCTAGGTTTTCCCTAACCATGGTTAATAATATCGAAAAATGTTGATAATAATTGGTAGTGCATTGGTACTGATCAGGAAAATCAGAATTCTTTGGAATGAAGAAACAGAGTCTATTTACCTGACAATGTTTCCTGGATCCACTTCAATTACCCACATGCAACGCAGGTTATTGTCGTATGGGAAGGGATAACCGGGAGATAAGATTCTTCCTGAGGATTCTCCCTTAAAACGACCTCCACATTCAGCTAATAAAATAAAAACGAAGTCACTAGTTCATGGCAGTCTTCAAAACAACTTACAAATTTCTTAAGAGTATATACACTTTCCGCATTTATGAAAATCAAGACAGCTGTCCCTCCTTGAAAGTAAACATATCTACAAAATTCGCTTTTAATTAAAGCAAGAAAACACTGTAAAAGAAATAAGATCGTCTCTAGTTGGATTGTACAAACGATGACAATGAAACAAACCTAGTGAAGGCATAAAAACAGGACACACTCCAAATCCCTAAATCAGGCTTCAAAAGATTTGTTTTTAAATAATAATTGTAAAAGGGAAAACAGATGCTAATCTGCTCCCTGTCAGTGAATTGCAGGCTGAATAATTCATTGTCTTGCTTCCCACCTGAGAAATCTAATCTTTACTGTGGTCTCAGGCATTCTACATTTCACCATCCTTTAAGTCACTCCATCTCTGTCCTTTTTAATCACTAGAAAATCCAAGTGTCAATTTTATTAGATTTTTTTTTATCCTTGGTTCAAACTGGGTTGTTTTGACTTTATGCTGTTTCTAATTTTATAAAATTTATCAAATTAAAAATGCACTTTTATACAATATAATTAAAAGTCTGTCTTTTGAGGCATCTCTTCTCCATATTAATACTCTTAAATATTATAGTAATACCTGAAGTGATTTTATTGTAAGTAGATAGTCTAGAATGAACTCTGTACTGGAGAAAAGGGAAACAGTATTTTAGTGAGTATATTGATCTAGCACTCTAGACCATAAAAGTCACTCTAACCCATCATAGGGGGACGTGAGGGACACTCTAACCCATCACATATTTCAGGAATCTCTGGAGAGTCCTCCAGCCATAAAACAAACAAAACAGTTTTCTTTTTTGTTAAATATTTAAAGATATTTCGATATTTTTGTTTTTTATTCTCTCCGCTGATTACCTTGCTTAGATTGAACTGGTAAAATTCATTTATTGTGGTTTGTATCTTTAACTATTAGTTAAAAAAAAAAATGCCAAAAATGAAGGTTTTGTCATTTGGAGGAAACTTGATAACATTAGAATCTAATGTCTCAAATTTGTAAGTCCATGTAAGTAGATTTGTCTCAAAATTTTTAGATATTATTTTGCACCACACTATGATAATTAGTTTTATTTATAAATAGACTACCAGGTCCCCAGTTAGTTAATCAAATGCTAAGCTAAGTGTCAAAGTGTTTTGTTGATGTGTTTAACATCTATAATCAGTTTACAAGTATCCTTAATAATGCATGTGAGCCTCATATGCTCCACTGAAATCCTTTAAGAGCAAAAAATGTTTCTGAGGAAAAGAAAAAATTCAAAATTGCGGCGTGAACTCCTTCATCAATTCCCAAACTGTTTGTCTGCCCTGTGGATTTTGGGCTTCCCAGCCTCTAAAATAAATTGACTAATTAATCAATTTACTAAAATAAATAAATCTCTTGAGGGAGAGAGAGAAATTCTACTGGTGGTGTTTGTTTGGAAAATCTAGATGGACCTATTCTCAGAGGGCTAAAGGAATATTACTTTCAATTGTAATACAAATTTAATTTATAATAACACAGGGATGATTTTTGTAGTAAAAAATAAATGAATTTGAGATGCTACCATTAGTTACATATTTTCTAATTTTTAAACAAAACCTTTGTTAGACAAGCTACAGCTATATTACTATTATAAATTAAAATTCTACCCTTTGATTTATTTATCCTTTGATGATTATTTTTTTTTTATTTTAAAGAGGAAAACTATAAAAAACAGCCAGGAAAGTTTTTCAAAACAGGTTAGTGGGACAGTTACAATAACTAATACACTGCTTATTGGTGTATTGTAGTAGTTATTCAGAGTACAAAATAAAGACATGATATCTTGTGCAAACAATATTAGCAAAAACCTTCTTTTCAGTGAACTAAGAGAAACTAGCTATATCACTATCTTAACTATCATGTGTATACCTATATATTTTTTCTTTTTCTCTTTCTTCCTTTCCCCTTGTACCCATCACAGTTTATCTTTTCTTTTGGACAGTTTCTTCCCATTTCACAATGTCTATTGTACATTTTGGATTTTATTTACTAATTCTGTTTCTCCCACTAGTGAAACAATATAATACTAACACACGTGGGTTTAATTTTTTCATTTATATGACTATGCTCTTGAGTTGCATCCATTTACTTATAAAAGTCTCCAATTTATCCTTCTTTGTGGCATATGCATATATAAACTCCTTTTTAAAAAATCTGTTCCTCAGTTGATGGCATTTGAGTTGTTTCCAAGATTTGGCTACTACACATTGTGCTGCTATAAACATGAGTGCACATATATTGCTGTGGTAAAATGTTTTTAATGCTTCTGGGAAGACACACAGAAGGGGAATAGGTGGGCCGAATGAGAGGCCTGATCCTAGTTTTTTAAGGCAATCTTCACACTGATTTTCACTGTGGTTGCACCAGTCTGCACTCCCATTAACTGTGGAGAAAATTTTCTTTTTTCCATACCCCCATCAGTATTTCTTATATATGGATCTTTTGCTGATAGCAGTGAGATGGAATCTTAGTGTTGTTGTAATATGCATCTCTCAAATGACTAATGATGCTGAACTTTTTGTTCATGCATTTATTTGCCAAGTTAAAAGTGTGTATTCATCTCAGATGCCCGCTTTTGGATTCGGTCTTTAAGGGTAGGATTTATCACTACTATTGGCATGTATTATTTTGCAAACAGAGTTGATACTTATTCAGCGGATTGATTTTAGTCAGTTGGGATTTTGTGTACTGTATTGCACCTGAATTTAAACATAAGTTTTTTGTTTTTAATTTCCATATTCTGTTGTTGCAAATGACAGTTGCCTTCTGACCTCCAATGAGCTAGTAAGATATACTATAACATGAGACTATAACACTATAACATTTGCAAGAGAAAAATAAAATCCATTAAATGGAAATTCTGGTCAAAACCCTCCATGTATGTTCTTAAAAATAAATTTTTGTTTGATCAGTATATAACCTCAGAAACATAATTACATAAAAATTATCCAAATAACTAAGGAAAAACCACTGTATTTGACACAGATAAAAATACAGCCACAATAAATATCTAAGTTCCATGAAAGAGAAGAAACTATAACTGTAGGTCAAGTGGGAATGTTATTAATTATTTTCAGAAGACAATACAACCTAAAATAGAATTTGGTCTTCCTTAATGGAAATTATCAGTATCATTCATCATGTGTCCAGATATTTACAAATTTAATATGATCTTTATTATGAAAAAATATGATCTAAAAGAGTACTTTGATTTGGTATAATTGTCTTATGTGTTTTATATGTCCTTTGGCCTATTAGACTGTTTTCAATCTGTATACATGATAATTAACTTTAAAATGTCTTATAAGAGTACATAAATTAATTTGATTCTAGAAAAATAAAAGGAAGGAAAAAGAGAAAAAAGAATATAAATGTGTCCATTCACTATTGGGAATGTATTATGAACTGCAAAAATTTACTAATAAAAGTAAAAAAAAATAAAGCTTATCATTACCTCAAATACTGTACAATACCAAGTCACTAAGTTTGACTGAGAATATTTGTAAATATAAAATGCATTGAATTGTTGCAAACATAATTAAAATCATCTGACCTGGATGAAATGTCTTTCCTTCTGCATGAAATCATTCCAAAAGAGGTCATCATATTGATTTAACATACTCAGAAATACCTGATTTCAAGGCATGGTTTTATAATTTTTAATTTTAAGGACAACATGGAAAATCAATATTTACAGGTTTATCATTTAGTGATATAACAGCTTTTAATGTTTTCCTGAACATAATTCATATTCATATCAAAGAATGAATTCTCATCAGAGAGAATTAATCAATGGTACATTTTTCTCATAACCAATTCCAATGGATAAATTGGTCATATTCCAGAATCCCAAGCTTTTGATAATTAAGGTTGATTATTATTATAGATAATACCCACATAATCCATCCAAAATTTAGATGCCATCTAAAAATAAAAAATTATAATTGAGTCTTAGTTAGATGAACATATTTGTTTCCTGTGTTAGCCAATGCTTCAATATACCAGCAGAGAGCTCATCTCATCAGAAGCACCATGTAATTAGCTGCAAGGCCTCTAATGAAAATAATTTCATATTTTTGCTAAATGAATTTTAGCAAGTTTTGCAGTGATTCTTATGTTTACCATAATAAATGCATTGAGAGAAATTTTCCAATTACATTAAAAGATTTAGGTCCTCACATTTTTAAGTTGAAAACATTAAACATATACTGTTTCTTTTTTTAACTACAAATTACATTTGAATAAAGCTGTTAAAAGGTTCAATCAATTTTTTTCCAGGTAGGCATGATTCTGAACACCCTTGTGATCCCATACATGCCATCCAGAATTAGGAGTGTCTAGCTGGGGATATAGCTCAGCAGCACAATGCCTGACCAGTAAGTGTGAGGCTGTGAATTTGATTCCCAGTATAAAAACAAACAAATGAACAAACAAAGAATTAGGAGTGAGTATACAACTGCTGCTTGTTGGTTCCCTATTCATGAATTATTGCTATTAAAAAACATATTTTGTCCTAGTATCCCTACCCATCTTGGTACCTGCTTGATCTTTGGAATAGAAAAAAGATAAAAAGGAAGAAAAGGGTCTTTATCTGTGCTTTTCATCCACCTTTCAATGTCTTTATATGTAGTTACCTATTAACAGATCTACAAAGCAGTAAGATTAACATGTAGCCGATCTATGGAAAAGAGAGAAAAATCACCACTTGCTAAATTCAAGTAGGAAATTTACCTTGTTTTGCTGATTTTGGGTGCCTTTTTTTTACTGAAATTGGTTATTGTAGTGTACACACAAAAGGAAAACCAATATCATTTTTAAAATGTTTAATGTACATATAAAAATAATGTCTGAAGTTATTGAGAATAGTTTATTATTTTTAATCCATCTTAATCCCACGATGTGCAATACTTTTGTAAATTATAACTGAGATTCAATAAATGTCTGATTGAAAGTCTTAACATTTTTGTAGTAATTTAAATTTTACATGAAGAACAGAAATAAAAGGGCTTTATACAAACCATTTTATTCCCCAAAATGTATATTGCTAAGATTATGAAAAGGAGCCTTATACATCTCAGACATTTATTTCATTTTAAAACATTATTCATTAATTTTTTTCATCTTCAGTTTGACATGTGTGTGGCAGAGGGAATCAATCACTTGATCATAGACAGCATAATTTGCTTCATTTCCAGAGACCCGATTAGCACAATCTAAAAGAGGAACCTACCAATACAGGAAGGCAGAGGATAGTCCCAAGCCCTTCGCTCCCCTGTCATGCACTTGAGAAGGCTGCTTCCATGGAGGGTGTAGCCTGGATTGCAGCCGTAGATGATGGTGCTTCCAGCAAAGTGGCCCTGGTCACTGATCTTGTATCCAAACTGTGGAATTCCAGGATCTTCACAATGTGAAAGTTCAAAACCTGGGACAAAAATAGAAGTTGATTAAAAGCAAACTTTAGTGAGGAAATTTAAATCTACATGAATTTTCACATTTATTTATTAATTCAAATATGATTTCCATATTCCCTAGTCATATTATCATTGGCATATTTATTTTTCATAGTATGCATTAATCCTAGCTTTTTTCCCGATAATTAGAACTTGTATTTTTAAAATTAATTAATTGTATGATCAATATAACTATACCAGATGTTGAAGCAGTTATGTTTGCTCTCTGCCTACTTCAAATGATATACAGTTAATATTAGGTTCCCAGTTATACCATGATATAAAAAAATACATATTGAATAATTGTGCCTGTCTCCTGGTACAGAGTGCCTAAAGTCCTTGGCATCCCCTGAGTGATACAGATCAGAAGCATCTTTTGTTACTTACAATGAATTTTTTTTCAACCATGAGATCAAAATCATGGTGATGTCCTCTTTCTCTTGGAGAATGGCTTCTGCTACCAGAGGAAATATTCATGTGACTAGAGAGTTGGAAATTTCTGCCTCTATCAACTCACACTTTCAGAAAAAGAAGAGGACCTGTGAGATTACTTACTGATAGCCACTGTGCCCATGTAATGAAATTTCCATCAAAACCCTAGACTAAGGGGTCCCGAAGGCTTCTAGGCTGGTGAGCACATCCCTGTGCTGGAAAGGGCATCCCAACTCCACAGGGTTGCAAGCTCCTGACGTTGAGGTACTTCAGGACCTCACTTATGCAACTCTTTAGCTGGCTTTCATTTGCATCCTTTATGGTGAATGAGTACACATAAGTATTTCTCTGAGTTACAAGTGTTCTAGCAAATTACAGAACCCAAGGACGAGGTTGGGAGAATCTCCAATTTATAGCTGGTAAACCAGAATAATAGGAGGCCCGATTTGCAATTGGCATCTGAGGGGCTGACAGTCTATTGTCTTGAGGTCTTAAGCTGTTAGTACTCTAGGTTGTGTTGCATCAGGTTGAGCTTCAGAGGGTTGGAAAACTGGTTGGCATAGGAACTGTTGTGAGTAGACACTCGAGGTGCTCCTTTTAGGAACACAACTTCCGAGATTATACAACCAAAATTTTACAATTCAGACCAGAAATGTGAAGCCAGCATTGTCCAAGAAACAAATATGTTTATTTGGGCAACCCACTCAGAGACTCTTTCTGTCTCTCTCTTGGGCAGAAACTTTCTTTCTCTCAATAAATGTATTCTGCTCTTAAAAATATGTTTATTACAAACAAAACATTAGACTCCTATTTGTATAACTTTAGAAGAAAGTGAATCTCATATTTAAAACGTGGTATTTATCCAGAAGTAATATAAGTGGTAATCAACTTGATAGATTTCAAAGATTTTTATTTTACTTGATCCAGAAAAGTGAAGTTCTGAAAAACTCATCCAGACAACACACTGAAAATCTTTGTACATGTTGTCATTGTGAGGTGCAGAGAAAATATTTTTGTATTTCTGCAGAGCTTAGGCTTTTTGCTTAAATTTGCTGAGATTCTGGGCTAAGGGCAACCTTTAAGAAGCTAATTTACAACTGTATGAGTAGAGAGCATTCTCTAGAGAGGTTTACCTAACTGTGGAGGAGGATTATGTTTACATTTCAAGAGAGGATGGGGCTGAGAAATACAGACATCTCTAGGATATAAAAGTTGGCGACACAGGAGGATAGCATGCCCTGGGAGAGATACATTTACATTCCAAAGTTAGAGTTAGAATGTATGATCCTTTGCATTTCATTTCAGAGGAACAAAAATTTCTGTCTCTTTTCAGAAAACAATAGGGGAAAAACAGCTCATGTCCCCTGCTTACCACATTCCTCCCATTTCCTGGCTATGGAATCCTAGGCCACTAGTGTAGAAGAGTGATTCAAATGCTTTTTTGACGTTTCTACAAGGGAACAGTGGAACAAAAAAGGGCTGACCCAGCATCATCATTATCATTGTTGTACTAATCAATAGCAAATCTGTCTAAATCTGGAATACTTTGTGCATTTTCAGGGTAAAAGTAATACAGATGGATATTAAAAACTCAGTAGTTACAAAACAATGCATTCCTAGGATTCTAAAGGAACCAGGAAAGGACACTTCTCAAGTAAAATGAAAATGTAACTTCCTTAACTATGGAGTTGTCAGGGTTTGCAGTGTTTCTAGGTATTTCCCCCAAAACCCTAATGTGATCTTAGAGAGGGAGCTTCCAAATTGGCTAGATTAGGGTAGGTGACTGTGAATTAAAGGTGTGATAGTAAGATTAAGGATATGGATAATGAGATCCCCACCACATGTGTGGGTGACACCCGTCAATATGTCAGTAGCCTTACAATCACAGTGGAATCTAAAGGGAGAGAGGGAAGGCAACCTTGTGGATGCTGCTACTGCTGCTGCTGCCTGCTGCCTTCTTCTGCCTTGCCACACCATGGACTGTTTCACTGTTTCTCACGCCCATCTACTGTGCTGCCCTGCTTTGGAAACAGTCAACTGAGAACTGAAACCTCTACAAACCATGAGCTGAAATAAACCTTGCTTTCTTTAACTTTGATTGTTGGATCTTGTTGACTCAGCAATGAAAAAAGTGACCAAGATAGTAGCTTTTCTGTCTATAAAATCTGCAAAAGTGTGAGATTAATTCCATGAAGAATGCACAAAATTATATTCCGATACAAAATTATATCAACTTCTCAAAACAGAAGACCATAAAGAATATTCTTGATAGCTTCAACAATGAGACTCATGGGTTATTTACACCCTCATGTTGGAGAAAAGAGAATTTTTATTTGTGTTTTGTATTATATAATGACCAAAAAAGATATGCATCCCTTTTACAGACAGAACTATGATCAAATTAACCTGGCTTTAAACTATAAAGCAAAAACTGGGGGAAAAAAAAACATGTTTTTTAGTGTCAAATCACTGATTCACACTGTTGGCTTCCTCGAGTGTCAGTGATGCAGAAAGCCAGCAGAACTTGTGCATGGCCAAGCTTCCTCCAATTGCTTTACGCTGAGGGATACACTGGCTCTCACAGAACCTACGAAGCCCTTTCTAATCTATTTTAGAGGATCTTAATCACTCCTTCCTCTGTTAAACCACAGAATAATTAATCTCTGACTTCATTTACAATCATTTGTTTATTTCTTTGTTTTCTTATTTGTTCTATTTGGGATTATTTGTTCTTTTTTCTCCATGGTTCCTACCTAACAAAAATTGAGACAGGAAAGTGCCATCACTCTTTCCCTGCAGAAAGAGGTGTTGTTAGATTTCACCTGTAAATTAAAACCCCACTTTCCATAGATTCATGCCTTAAACAGGCTTCTACTGTAAAATTTCCCATAAATATGCCCAGTGGCAGCCTATAAAAGCCTCTCTTATATTTAGAAGGCAATACTTTTTGAGTGTGTGTTTTTAAAATTTTGTCTAATAAATCCATTTATGTCTCTTACTGACATATCCTGAGGATGTATTTTTTTTTTCTGTGATGTTGGTCAGGTACTATAGATTCCTAAGTTAGGGAGACAGATTCATACACAGGTAGAAAGGGACCAGGCTCAAGATAGAGTCAGAATAGAAATAAGGCAAACCAGGCCTACGATCAAGGATTGAGTCAGTAGAAACCAGGCACCAAAATGGAGAAGTAGTGTCTACACTGGGAAGCCTCTCTAGGGATAAACAGTACTCCAGGACCGTTCTGTAACTAGCACCATCTGGTCCATTAAGCCTGAACAACATTGCTCAGATATCGTAATGACATAACAAACACATACACAGTCTACTAGAATATTCCAGTCCTCTTGTTATGTACTCTTGCCTTGTACCTTGCTTTCCCATTAAATCACCATTAGCTAAGTGACTGTACTTGTAGCTATAGGTTGATTTGTAGTTTGATTCAAGTTAACTTGGGATGAGATTCTGCTGTATACAAAAGCCTTAGCAGTGACCCACTTGACCCACTTTTGGACCCTCCTGTGTCTTAGGAGCTTCCTCTTACTACAATTTCTCCCCCTCTTCACCTTCTCCGTCCTTGCGCCTATTATTCACCATCCTAAGACAAGAACTCAGCACCTCTACCAGGTTGGAAGTCGCCTGCCAGTAACACAGGGATCATGTGAACTCTCTGGTGGGCAGGATGATTCAATGTTCCCCATCTCAGCTTTGGGAATCTACTTGGACCCCACTCAGTGATGCAATCTCAGTACAAACAGGTGTTTAATAAAGCTCATGACCAAGTGTGATTTTAGAGGCCATCATTTCTAGGTTACAACAGAAAAATAAAATATTACAAGGAACTGAATTTTGGAAGACAATTTAAAAAAAAAGAATCAACATTTTCCTGTATAAATGAATTTATGAAAGTTCCATTATAAGCTAAAACAAAGCAAGTATATACAGTTTCAGGGATAGAAATATGCAAGAAATTAGCAATCATTAACTGCATGATACACATAATAAAATAGAATACACAGTCAAGCAAATCAGTCTTTCAAACACAGAAAAAACAAGGAAAACAAAAACTTAAAATTTTCAGGATACATTATTTTGCATGGATTTGCACAGCTAATATACATTTTAAGTATCTCTGTTAAAAAATTACTAGTTGAATATTCAATTTGTTATTCAAGACAAAACCACTTTTGAGTTTTACCATATATCACTTCTCAAAATAAAAATGAATATCAAATTGTTTTCAAGATTTATTACCAAATTCATCCCTCTTTAGTTTGAATATTCTGTAAATCAATTGACAATTGCTCTGATAACATACATGGAGACAATCTTTGTAAACTAAGATAATTTATAATATTTGGCATTACAGATGAAATGCACATGGACCTAGAGTGTTAGCTACAGACTCCAACATAATTTAATCGCATTTGGAAGACCTCCTGTTGCTTATTCATAAATATTCAGAACTGTCTTATCTTTATGAAAATGTACAGCTGTCGGTCTTCTTTGAGATCTCAAATACTTGAACCTGACAATTAAG